CAAAGAACGCCAGGTCTACGCTGTCCGACGATTTTGCACGGGCCCAAATGCCTTTGAATCCTTTGATCAGCAGCCCTTGGGCGGGCGTATAAAACTCCAGAGCCCCTTTTCCATATTGACCAAAAGCTATGGTAACAAAAACCGCGATTGGAATGATAATGTCTAAATTTTGGTGATCCCACGCATCCCGTCGAAATTCTATTCGATTTCTGCTCTAGATGTTTCATTACTGAAATAAAAATCGCACTTAGCAAGCCTGCTCTTATCAACAACTTAGTTAACAATTGATTGTTACGATTGTCGATCGAACAATCAATAACCGAATTTGGTGTGAAAAAATCTTGAGTTAAGAATAAAAAGATACACGCAGACCAATATTGATGGATTTTCAGGCGCACACCACAGAACATAATTTGCATGGTCCTTCTTTGTCCAATATTTTCGAATTTCTCGCGTCTATGGACACTATTCTCTTCCTCGTTGGCGAACAGGTTTGCCCTGAGAGGGATGTTGGAAAATCTGACCTACATATTCGAATTATCTCGGAAACTGTTTCCAATCTTTGGCACGTACGATTTCTGTCGGTTGAAAGCACTCTACATCTACGAACTACGCAAATTGCATACTACGGTGCTGCATTTTAAACTTTTTAAACGTGCTCACAGTGATTTTTGTTTGACTTTACTTCCGATTAGTTATACGTAACTCTTGTGTGCGTCAGATTCAATAGCTGTTCTTGATTGGGTCAGTTGCGCTGGCCCCAGAATCGTGTTTTGATGCTTGATTCTTGCAGATTAGCTAAAAAAAATTAGATCCGTCCAAACAGTGATTTTCTACGGTCATTATTCACCGAAATATTGCGCTCTGAAAATTTCGGTTTATAATGTCATCCACCGCGGTAATGACACCCTTGCTTTCTTCCACCTTTCTTTCATCAGTCAGGGAGACACTTGCACTTCTGGTTGCTCAACATATAACTCGGATGAAAGCATCGTGGAAGAAACCAAGAGTGTCATTAACCGAATTTTTCATGGCTTGATATCTCGGTTAATATTGAACTTAAAACGTTGCTGTTTGGACAGATCTTATTATTTTTAGCTAATCTACAAGAATCAATCAACAAAACACGATTCTATGATCAGCACAACGGCTCCTTCCTCGATCCCTCCCAAACATTTTTCGGGTAGGTGTCATGCTTCACTCTTTCTTCTCTTTGCTCCGTAAAAGAAAATGTGCATAAATAATGCGTGAAATTTTCAGTGAGTAATGCATAGCAGATACCTGATAAAAATTCAATTCACAAGTTGAAACTTTGCTAGGTGGAAATGTAGATAGGTTGCTTCGTCTAGAGAGCGATGATACGTCCTTCTTGGAGCATGCGGACCGGACCTGTTCCCGACGGAAGAGACAAGACTTTGCGAACGACAAATCACGAAACAAGGATGCTAATTTTTTTCACTCTTTATCATTCTGCGTCTTTTGAGGAAGGACTGACGCGGACGTTATAAGCACGATGGGGCTTAGTTATGATTTACGCCCCTCCACTCCTGCCGCGGGTTTTATGTTATTGTTCCATCTGTAACTCATTGAACAAAATGAGCGCTATTTGTCGGGGCCCGGTCAAGCCTCCCGCTGTACGATAATTGTAAAATATGACGCGCATGCTTTTGTAGCAAAGCTCTCTTTTTTAACTGCTTCTTGTTCGTATTTCGTAAACGCTGAGCGGCTGAGCCCCGATAAGGCTACGCTTTTAGTGTTTTGAAATACTATGATGTTCAATTGACAATATACACGTGGGATCCTCAGCTACGTCTTTTAAGGAAATGAACCGTTTAAAGCTATGAAAATAATCGAAATTAATACAAGTTAAGGTGGATCTTCAGAATTATAGAGAACGACTTAAAAATCTATCGATCAATGCATAATTTTTGGGTTCTAGGAAATGCTTTTGAAAAATCTCCAATTGTCACGATAAGCTAGGTCATCTATCAGGTAATTGCACACAGGCTTACAATTAGACTGATTGTGAGTGACATTTTGAAATAGTACGTCCTCAGTGAATATAGGAAATTGAGTGACAAATTAATTTGCGAAACTCACTCGAGAACGTGTTTTTCGGTCCAATATCTAATGGACCACAGCGTGATGTAATATGCGAGCTTTTTGAAAACAATTTCCCAAAATCCAGACATTTTCTGTTCCTTGGTTGATTGCACGAGAATAAAAGCTGATCTAACTCAGGAGTCATAATTCTAAATGATTCGATCTATCTACCTCTAGCTTACACCCCAGAACCTTCATTCCGCATTCTCAAGTATATTATTAATAGCAGAAAGGGTTTAATCGGCATTAAAAGAGTATTTCTGCACGTTTTTAAGATTAAAAATTACAAATTACCATTCAAATTTCCTCCGATTTAAAGTAGATTAATTTAGCTTTGTTTTTGAAGCTTTTCTCTATTTTTTGTGTGTCAAATATGTGTCTGAATTAGTTAAAGCTATCTTGTGGAATGATTACCTCAGTAACATATTTGTTATTTCTGCAATATTATTATTCTCCTGTTCGAGTCCTTGAGTCTATATCACGTATTTAGTTTAGGTGCCGTTAGAGGGGGAATTCTTAGGCATTTTTCAAAACTTCCGGGACTTAAAAAATTTTCTAATTTTTTTTAGCTTGATGGTAGGAGTTTGAGAATTATTCTTCTGGAATATGAGCATTCTCGATACCAAGAAGTGTTTTGCGTGGTTATATTTTGTCTTCTTCTTCTTCTTCTTCTTCTTTCTCTCCTCCTCCTTCTTCTTCTTCTTCTTCTTCTTCTTCTTCTGCTACTACTAGCGACTAGGGCATGGTCCTGTTTGTCAGACCATTACCGAGCTCATTAAATCATAAATATTATAAAAAAAATTCGTAAAATATGAAAACAAAGTGGCAACATACCGCATCGTCGGTCAATATACGAAGTAATATTATATCTCATTCGGTGCATCTACAGCCATGCGTGGAGGTTTCCATATTTTCCCCTTTCTTGCTCTTTTTCCTCTTATTTTGTGGCTTTCTTTAATTTAATTTACGGTTCTGGTGACATAATATCAGGATTTTTATTGCTGCTGCCGTTCAGTTACCTCAGCTAGTCCGGCCAGGTTTCCTCCGCTTATTCATAATTTTTATGGAGAATTTTTCAAGCTGTCGGACGTTTTTATTGAAATTTATTTGGCTCTCCCGTTGCCGTTTTGGCTCGCTCCTTGAGACCAGTGGCTGCGGGGGGGGGGGGGAGCTACTAAGTTGCCTACCCCTTCGTTTCCCTCTCACCCTATCATCCAACGATTAGAGCACGGGCGATAAAGACGCTGTATACGTTATCATATTGTTCCTGAAGCGAGTAACATTAAAACGATATCACCACAATCGCAACCGAACAGCCACCGTCAACCTATACAAACTTGTGTGTGTATGTTGATTACCTCCAGTGTTCGAAACTCATCTTTGAGTTTCAGGAGCCATGTGGCGCAACGAGCTCGATTTTTAGGGGCCAGGTTGACTTTTTGCCTATATATCACGGTGCATTTAGTGAAAAGTTAGACGCAAGATGACAGTCACGTGATTTTTAGGGGCGACGACGTTGGCGCAGAGCCATCATTTTTTAGGCGCCAAGACCGATTTCTTAGGCGCATTTAGCGCGTTGGCGCCTGTGAGTTTCGAACACTGAATTTACCTCTCAACTTTCTTCATGCCGCAATCAGACGCTGAATTTAGCAGCTGAATGTGGAAGTCAACAGTCATCGCCCAACGGCTGAAATTTAGCAAATTCGAGTTATTTTCATCCAGATGTTTATTAAATCTACTCGAATAGTTCAGACAAATTCAAAATTGGTCCGATGGTTGCTGCAAAATTCAGGCATCGGGCCGATGACTTCATTTAAGCCACATTCAGCGTGTGATTGCGGTGTCAGACGAAAAAAAGAGCGAATATGACTGGTAACTTTGTTCTTTCCCCTTCAATAATTATTATTTCCTCATCGTTGTCAACAAATGGCTTGCCTCAAAGTGAGATACAATTTAATTCCTTAGACTCATAATATATCTGTTAATACAGTTAAAATTGCAAAGTTGTCGTAATGTCCGTGAAGTTAGCACCCTGACTTTTAAAATTTTAAATTTTTTCCTGTGCTCATCATCGCTAGTCTTTTGCTCACCTCAAAAATCAGTTTAATTTTGTTTACTCAGGCATGTACCCCCCCCCTCCCTTCCGCAATTGAAATTGAATGTTCAAAAAGGTCATTTACCTTAGAACTCCAACTGCGGTCATAAAATCGCAGCACCCTCTCTTTGTCCAATTAGCATGAACTCGGTCTCGAACAGCGTAAACTCATTATCAATTGCTGCGACGAAATCTATAATTTTCTCAATTTTCACCCTTTAGTCTGCCCCTCTCAAAAACTCACCCCATCAATTCGAAGATCCTTTTTTGTGGATAGGATTTTCCCGGATACAAGAGACCCTCTACTAGCCTCTTAGCGACAGGTGGAAGCTTTTACTTTCGGGGATTCAACAATTCCTTATGGACAATTATGAGGGAGCAATATTCATCACCCTAATTTTGCCTGTTAACCTACCTACATGGTGAATGTTGAGCTTTTAGTGACGTTATGAGCCAAACAAGTCTCCCAAACTTCGACCATTTTCGGCTTGTTTGCAAAACGAAACTGTCAACACGTTGTTGAACATCAACCATGTATAGGTAAGTCAACAGTAGAATTCTGAAGTCCCGAAAGTAAAAGCTTCCACCATGGCCAAGATACTGGTGGAGGGTCTCTTGTCTCTGATTTTCACCCTTCAGTCCGCCCCTCTTAAAAACTGAGCCCATCGTTTTGACGAACCACTTTTGTGGATAGGATTTATCCCATTCTCTTAAATTTGACATTGCCCCCAGTTGTTTGAAGGTTGTTAAAAAACTAAAATTGATTGAATTGGGAAAATAATGGGTGTGAAACTTGTTGCAGATACATCCACTCGAAGGAGAAGCCGTTCAAGTGCGGGGAATGCGGGAAGGGATTCTGTCAGTCGCGGACTCTGGCGGTGCACAAGATCCTCCACCTGGAGGAGTCGCCGCACAAATGCCCGGTCTGCAGCCGGAGCTTCAACCAGCGATCCAACCTCAAGACGCACTTGCTCACGCACACGGACATCAAGCCGTACAACTGCTCCTTCTGCGGCAAGGTTTTCCGACGAAACTGCGACCTCCGCCGGCACAGCCTCACGCACAACCTCGGCATCGGCACCAGCGTCGCCACGGACCCTGCCCAAGCCAAAACGGAACACCTGCCCGCCGTCGGCTTCGTCCAGGCTACCTCCACCCCCGCCAGTCCCGGAAAAGCCTGAACTCAACCTCCAATGCTCCCGATTCCCGGAACTAGTGCCGAATTTCGGAACTTTTTAGATTTTCCTTAATTTTTTCCGGAACTTTTGGAATTCCCGGATCTTTTGCATTTTCCAGAACTTTCCCGGTACTTTTGACGGTCATAGAAGGGGAGAAATTGTGACAAAAAAGTTCCGAATCCCGGAACTTTTGACGGACATGGAATGGGAGCACTGTCAACCTGTGTCCATTGTTGAAATTGGGGGACAAAGCCATGGACAAAGAAGACAAAAAAGATATCAAGGGATCAAATTGGTGGAATAGGGGTGGTTGCAATGGACAGAAGAGGTATAGGTAATAGACTATAACTAACGACAACCCACGAGAGACCCTATGGTTAGTCTATCGTATTTTCCCCAAGTCTAAAGATGCCACCCATTTCTACCAACAGGACCATACTCTCTATGTCTCCTTTGTGTATCGCTTCGTCTATCAATTTCAACTATCATCCTGCAGGTTTTTGATGAACTGGTTCTCCCGTCTCACCGAAGAAAGCAGTATGTGCAAAATAAAACAAAATTAAAATCATTTTTTACTTCATTTTTGGCACTTATTTTGTCTGGGTGTGCGACTGTGCGTGCCATATTCTGAATGCTTGTGTGATTACGTTTTGGACACGCGGCAAACAAATTTTAAGGTTACAAAACGACAGAAAAATGAACAATTTCATTCAAAACAAGAGTAAGTCCAGCTAGGTCCCTCGCGGAATAACGTGGACTTACTGCTGTTTTGTCTGAAATGGTGTTAGCTTTTGCGCATTTCCTGCTTTCTCACAACTTTCATTTTCTACGCATAAGACGAATTTTGCTATTTCAGCTGAATCAGTAAGTTCGTTTAAATTAAATTAGTCTGATTTTGAAGGAATCTCAATTTTGAAAATTCAGACGTTACTGCTCTCTTAGTCAATACAGCAGATTTATCTGGAATGTTGATTGATGACATTCATATCTCTATGGAACGAGTGAATTGCATTCTAGCATGCAAGTATAGAATTTATAGTTCTAAATTGCAAAATGTAGTCCAAATGTCCACTCACAAAATACATATCCATTGGCAGAGTCTTAGGCATTTCCAACTGAGGATTCCACTGCTTTTCATTCTCATCTCATGCAAAAATAAGAAAAAATGTCGACAAAAATAGTACCGGTATATCTTGTGAGAAAATTAACTTGTTTGGGTCCATTTTGCAACCTTAGCATGGAGTTACGTTCTTTCGTTCGGGAAACGAGTTGAGAGTCAAGTTGAGCCGTTTGATCTCAATATTTCTACGTTTATTTTGCATTTTAATTACTAATTCCAATAGAGCTTATCACAAAATGTCAGATATTTGTCACTAATTTCGAAGAAGAATGTGTTTGAATTACCTTTAAAAAACCGCACACTAAAAAAAAAAAAAAAAAAAAAAAAAAAAAAAAAAAACATCTAGAGTCCAGACTCTTGAAAACATTGAAAAGAAAAAAATACTCTTGATTCAATCGGATTTTTGTTTGAATCAAAACAAAATCCGCTTAAATTAAGAGGCTATGTTCTTGATTTAAGCTAGATTCTGATTGAATCAAGAGTACTTTTTCTTGTCGATGTTTTTAAGAGTCTGGACTCTAGATCCAATGTGTTTTTTTTTTTTTTTTTTCCAGTGTGACCATCTCGTATTGGCCGGTAAAAATTTAAATTAACAAGGTCCTGAAGCTTTAATAGGTAAATCACAATCTTAGGCCAAGCCGAATGCTTGGAATGTAAAGCAAGCCGTTTCGCTGCCCAAACTGCATTCACATTCACTCCACACTCACTGGCTCCGAAGCGATACGTTGGCATCGACCGTCGATAAAGTCATAAAAACTCGGTCATCGACGTTACCTTAACGATCTGCAAAATCTACTCGTTTCGCAATAGGCCTCACGATATGGCGATTCCCCGGTTTCCTTTTACGCCTTCGCTCGAGTGCAAATGAACCATATAAATTAGGCTCCTCTCTTTTTAGGACTACGAAATGACTACGCCCGTATACGCCAGCCAAGCGTATACCACGGCGCGGCGGCTCGGGTTACTTTCGCAAGTTAGTGTGCAGTTGTCAAGGAGTTACATGCCCGACTCGGAGTCCAACATCGAACGGTAAATTACGGATCTGTGTTGTGTAGACTCTCTTGTCATGCGCGAGTCAATTATCGGTTTTAGTAGACTCACAGCATCACTCTATCGAAGCGGTATTCTATGCGGTGTAGAGGGTGCCATGAATTTCCATGCATATTCTCTTTGTAGCGTCCAGCCCACTTACAAACTGGGGCTCTCAAACTGGCACCAATTCTTCTATTTCTCAGCCATTCCTGCGCAAAATTCCTTAAAAATTTCAAGATCTGATCTGTGATGTATCTCGAACACATCGGTCACCTTCAAAGATCGCCGGGCCGACGATCTTTGAAAGGCAACAGTCAACAGTTCCATCGATGGGCTTCTTTGAAGCCCCTAGTTTAAGGGTGGGCTGGACGCTTGTGGTAGATTGGAACGCACAGCATGACGGTGCGGCGTATAAAATATTTCTCAGATTAAACTTGACGAATGGTATTTCATCAATAGCAGCGAAGTAAATATGTTTTTAAAAAATGGTTTAAAGGACATTCAAAATTCCATTTTTTGAAACTTACAAGTTACTGGTTATTTCATTTATTCATGTTCTATTCAACGCCGAATAAGTTTACGCACTTTTAGACTGCGACAGAAGACCCGCCATCTTGATTTTTCTATTTAATTCAGTATAAGTGACGTCGGACGATCTTTTGTCGCAGTCTGGAAGAGCGTAAACTTATTTGGTGTGGACTCTACTTCATTTACCACGGAGAATATGGATTTAACTACTTTTGGACTTTTTTTTTAATATACATTTGGACATTCATTGAAGGCCTCTGATAGTAACATTTACTACCAATTTATTCAAAATCTACAGGAATGCGGTAGAAATTAATAAATACCTCGCCGCTTTTGATCATGATTGTAGATACCTGCACCCACGGTGCGTGGAATGCAGTTTTATTGTGAATCATTTTCCTGAGAGTGAGTCAGGACATTTGTGTAACCCAGTTTACAGGATTCATGCATATTGTAAAATCCAACATTTTTTATTTGTAAACTTTGAAACCATCACTTTTGCATTGAATTATCCTGAATAATCCGAGTTCAAACTATGACGAGAGAAAAGAGCCGTATGCAAAAACGACATTTTTCGCCCCCCCACTAAAACTTATTTAAACTTCGTCTATCAGTTACTAATACTGGAGCGCTTCTTTCCCCAAATTTTCAGACCCCCAAAAAATTTTGGGGGGGCGCTAGGGGGGTAGAAGTCAAAACCTGTGACCCTGGATATCTTTCGAACGAAACAAGATATTGAGGCCCGGTTTGGACGAAAAATCGTCGAAAATTGCATACTTTAAGATTCTAAAGGTCAAAATCCCAAAATTAAATTTTTAACTTAACTTATGTGCTTTTTTTCAGTTTTTGAGGAAAAACAATTTCTTTTAAACAGATTAAACTGAAATTTCACATTTTTTGATTTGAACCAAAACCAGTTTTTTAAATTGTTCGTCTTTTTCCGCATCCAACGAGTGGTCGTATAAGCTGGGGAACTGAACGGTTCCGGAGTTATGATCGATTGAAGTTTCCGCTCAACGCGCGCCGACCGATTTTCGCGCGCAAAAAAGTCGGATTTGACTGTTATAAAATCAGCTTTAATGTTGAAACTGAGCAAAATGCATTATTAGGGACCCTGGAGGATCGCTGAGTCCAGAAATTACAGGTACTTCCAAAAAATTCACGTTTTTAAAATTACAGCTCCGTACAGGACCACTGAGCGGCCGGTCGGCGCTCAGTGGGCCTCTAAAATAGCGCTACGGAGCTGTAATTTTAAAAACGTGAATTTTTTGGATGTATCTGTAATTTCTGGACTCAGCGACCCTCAAGAGTCCCTAATAATGCATTTTGCTCAGTTTCAACATTAAATCTGATTTAATAACAGTCAAATCCGACTTTTTTGCGCGCGAAAATCGGTCGGCGCGCGTTGAGCGGAAACTTCAATCGATCATAACTCCGGAACCGTTCAGTTCCCCAGCTTATACGACCACTCGTTGGATGCGGAAAAAGACGAACAATTTAAAAAACTGGTTTTGGTTCAAATCAAAAAATGTGAAATTTCAGTTTAATCTGTTTAAAAGAAATTGTTTTTCCTCAAAAACTGAAAAAAAGCACATAAGTTAAGTTAAAAATTTAATTTTGGGATTTTGACCTTTAGAATCTTAAAGTATGCAATTTTCGACGATTTTTCGTCCAAACCGGGCCTCAATATCTTGTTTCGTTCGAAAGATATCCAGGGTCACAGGTTTTGACTTCTACCCCCCTAGCGCCCCCCCAAAATTTTTTGGGGGTCTGAAAATTTGGGGAAAGAAGCGCTCCAGTATTAGTAACTGATAGACGAAGTTTGAATAAGTTTTGGTTGGGGGGCGAAAAATGTCGTTTTTGCATACGGCTCTTTAATTTAATTTAATTCTGCAATTTTTGAATCTCGTAGGTTGTGCCTACTGACTACCCGAGCCTTTGCTCTCACGTCACTCAACTTGACCATTCAAGTGGCCTTTGTGTTGTATGAATATCTGGTCATTTAAGTTGCTTAAAATTTAAAAAAATCAAAGTCAGCATCATTTATCCCTTTCAGAAAATAAAAAAAAATATCACAGAGAGTAACGTTCCCAAAGTTTAAATGACCGGTTGTATTGTATCATTTTAGCATTTGTAAATCGATTGTGATTTTAGAAAGTAAGTGTTTATATATCTCAGTTCAAGACTGAATCATATTTTTGAAAAGTATTCTATTGTACATATCGTGTAAATAAAATTCGAGAGTATATTTTAGAATGTGTAAGTTTAGATTTTTTCAAGTTTTGTTAATTTTTCAAGTAAACTTTATTTTGGATGTACTGCATATTTTTATGTAAATATTCATCTCGCTATGTGAAATAAAAATGAATCGCCAATTTTTTCCGAACGCTTTATTTGTTCTCCTCTGTACGATCTTTTGTAAGACCTCCTGCCTCCATGCATTAATTAGTCGAAAATATATCAGAAATGCAAAACTATAAACAGTAATTTTGGATTGAACAATCTGGCGAACTTAAACTGTGTGCAAGCCAGACTTTCTTTTCTATATACGCTTCATATTATCTCAAAATGTTTCAGAATCCTCCGCCGTTTTTAAATTCGGGTTGGGGCTTCACGCCTCACGATTGAACGTCTTAACAATAACGAAAATGCATTATAACAAAACAATAAATGGCGGATCTAGCAGGTTGGCAATACCGGCTTTCTTCCATGCAAACCTGTGTTAAATAATCGATTCTTGTCGGAGAACTTGGCCCCTCCAAGAATCGATAGATTTCCATAGGTTTAAATGGACGGAAAACAATGTTGCCAACTTGCTAAATCTACCAATGTAAATGATCGTATGCAATATACTTGTAATATTTTTAGAGGGCTATTATATCAACTGGTAATAGAGAAAAGGGGAACCGTGCACTTTAAAATAGGTTCTTAAAGCAATATTTTTGTGCTTCGTTATTGCTTCTTTTTAATGTTTAAAAATGAAGAATCATTATCAAGACTAAACGAAGACTTTCCCGCAGGAAAGAGGAAGGCACTAGTGTACCTTTCGGATTGAATTGATACTGAATAACATTCACAACCGTATATTTCATCTTTGCATTTGCATTGCTCGCAAAGCAATATTTCATAGATTTAAATAGTTCAAAATTTCCTCGACTGATTTTTCTGTACACTTCTGAAGATTTTAACTTTATTATCTACAATGAGGAAGAAGTTGGTAGAAAAATTCTGGATACGCGCTATTTTGTGAAGATAACAAGACCAAAAATTTCTAGATTGAACAATCTAAACTCTGATCAGAATCATTGCAAGACTGAAGAGGAAAAGTGTTCAGCTCAGGCAGACGCTTTGGAATATTACTCACTGACAAGTGTGAACTATTAATTGATTACACCTGCTTGATTAAGACCCAAAGCGTTATTGATTTCTCGGCATGATCCCAACAAGGTAAGACAAGAACTGAAATTACTCGACTCCTCTCACACTCTTCTTGACAGATCACTGAATAAAAAATCTCGGTGAATTTACTAAGAAAAGGGTAAAATTACCAAGAATTCAGGGTTCTATTTGATCCCAGTTTTTTCTTGGTAAAATTACCATTTATGGAATTGGTAATTTTACCGAGAAATCTCGGTAAAATTATTGAACTTTCTCGGTAATTTTACTGCTCCTTGGTAAAAACGCCAACATTTTTTATCGACTATGGTAGAATTACCGAGATAAAATGGCAAAGT